TTTTGACCAAGTAAGATATGACCCAGCTTTATCACCTACTTTATTTGCCTTAGTTGGTTCTGTGTGATTTTAGCTGTTTCCAAATTTTAACCTTTGAGTTTCATTACTGATATAATTAGTTAATTAGTTTCACAATTGTAAATATTCTAACCAAACTGCATTAGTACTGGTGACAAATTAAATGTTCCAAGTAATCGGGAATAAAAGACATTTAGAAAAATAGTTTTGTGAATTGTTTAATTGACCACTCTGATTGTTTGAAAGAACAAAAGATGCAAGGCTTTCCAGGAACTCAATTTGAGACCCCTGGCCTAAGTTACAAAGTATGGCAAGAAGGGTTATCATCCACCAAGTAGTATGGGTAAGGTAAATAAAAATAGATGAAATATTGAAATATGGCATGTGTGTTCTTTATATTCTAAAGCTGACTTAAAAAAATAACCATTAGAATTTAGGATAAATGTATGCAAGCAAGCTGTTTCTCCTTTTATAAATTATATTATGTTTCTCGAGGTCATAGATCCCATTAACTATTTATGTAAAAATATAATTGCAACTGACTTCAGTTCCATTCAAACTGGTATCCATGTCTTGTATTTTTACAGTCAAGTTTATCTAGCTATCTGTGCAATGAATAATTAATTCATCATCGTAATCACATAGGATTTCCAATCATGGATTAAGTAGCTAGACATTCAAAAATATTTGAAACAATACATTATGTATGTGATACTAGTAAAGACTACAACATGTACACTATTATTGTAAGTTTATTCCATTTACTGGTGATGTATTTAATTTGTTGAGGAATAGTAAAACCTTTTAGTAAAGCAATTAAATAAAATTAACATTTTCCATATTCTTGTATCTTGAATGGTTAGAAAAATGCTAAGCCAATTTACAAAATCTTATTTATTGCTACTAGTCACTTATCAAATTACAATGATCTGGACATACAGTATCAGATGGTTATATAGTGCATACAGATGAGTACCATTATTCCTTTTTGTTAAATGATGATTATGCATTTTATTAATTTATGGTTAGAAATATAAGAAGAATACATTCACTTATTTATTCTTAGTGCTTTGGTTCCTCAAAGTGACATTTATTAACTTTATTCTCTCTTTTGTAGCATTAACATTATCCAACAGTCCTTTAGGAGTTTCACTTTGTACAGATCATGAGTGCAATACTGAGGTTGCTGTAGTGCAGTTGCTGGATACAATAGGTATCTTACAAATGGGACCTTTTCAAAAACCAATTGTCTCTCAGTTTACCTTATCTACGGTAGGCAGTATCTGGTTTCCATGGCTTCCATGCTTTTCAGATTTACTGTAGGTTGTATCTCAGAAGCTATTGTGTTATTGTGGTTGGTGTTGGTAAACCAAGGGACGGTTTACTAACACCCTTGGTTTTAAAAAAAACCTGTACATAGGAGCAAAGAGAATATGCAATCAGATCTCCAGGAACATTAGAAATACATGAAAATGTACAGAAAGCACTGACAAATGTCCACCATTGTACAGTGAATCACCTTCTGCTCTAGTTCTTGTTGAAACAGAGCTCTGGACATTTATCAGGCACTTTGTATGTAATTGTACACCACCTGATAATGGTACAATTATTTTTGGGAAACCCTTGGCACTGTTAGATAATTTTTTTATTATTATTGTGTAATGAACTGATTACTGTTGTTGGGTCTTGTGGGATATTCATACTGTTTATAAAGAACACAAAATTATTTTATAGAAAAAAACAATTACACCTGTCTTTCAGTTGATGGGCTTCTTGTTAGAAGGCTGACATGTTTTATCTGAATTCTGGGGCAGCCCCCAACTAGCATTGAATGCAAGAAAACAGCCTTCATCTGTAGCTAACAGGAAAAAAAAGCCACAAGGAAATAAGTTACATATTGTGTACCCATTTATACAATTTATGTAGAAAATAAACAATCAGAAACTAAAAGTAAGTAACAGCTTAGAACATCGGCATAAAGAGAAATGAAATGGGAGCAAAACTATGACTAATTAGAATACAATTTGATCCCGAGTTACAAATCAAGGGGGGTAAAGTTTAAAGGCTTAAACAAGATTCTTACCATTTTGGGGACTCCATCTTGCAATCAATCCCTGAAAACAGGTCTTGCACAATGTTTTAAAATAAAACAAATCTATTCATACCATTTTATTTTGTTGATTATCCATTATTATTATTATAAATGGAAAGTATTTTCTTAAATCTGAAAACATCTAACAATCAACAATTTTTAATTATGTATAAACTTTAATGGGACGTGGAAGGTTGAAGGCTAAAGCACGTGACGTTTGGCATCTGGGAGAAAACCCACCTGGCAAATCATGTCTTAATAGCACCCACTATTGTAAATACTTCTTTTATTGCTTAACTTCCCTTAAGCATCTACACCACCTAGTTAAATGAGTGACCTAAACACACACCCATCAGTATGTTTCCTACTTTTCCTTGCTCATTACTAAGCCTATTAAGTGATCTTGGGAGAAACATCTATATTCTTGAAACTAATAAATAGAGAGTATTAAAAACATAAGGCCAAGTCTGGAATAAACCCAAACTGTGATCACAAACAGACAGGAAGCAGGCCGTTTTCTCAGTCAGTCTGTCATGCATGTAAGGGAAACAAGCTCAGTCAGTCTCACAGCTGGTGAGCACCTTAGAAGAACATATAAATTCCTACACACACCCAAACAACTTCGGTTTCACCCTCAAGGTGTTCAGTCTGCAGTTTGACTAAGCACTGTGTTCACCATGTTTCCTATTTCCATGTCTTACTCTTACAGGGAGAACTGACTGTTGATACTCCTTCTCTCCTGCTACCTGCTCCTTCTCAACTACCCTATCTTTTCTTCGCCCAATCTTTATCAACTGCTGGTTTCCCTCTCTCCCTCACACCTGAAGAAGGCTCCAAAGCCAAAACATTGTGTCTCCTTTCCTTTCAGCATGGAATAAACCTTTACCTGTTCCTTTGCATCCTATCAGTGCTGGTAAAGCTACCTACTTGACAATCTAATTGATTTTATTTTCAAGTCTTCACATACAATCGATTCCAGTAGGCATTTATTGTTCTTAGTGAGGTGAAAGTGAGCCTTTCTCTATGCAGCAGTTGAACAGAGCACAGAGTCTCTTGGCTTTGAGGTATTATAAAAAGAACATTACATGTAACTTCCCTTTTCACTATATGCATCTATGGTCACACTTAATGGATCAGTGATTAAACACCAACATGTGGACATTGTTTCATCCTCTAAAAGCTCCAAAGAGATTAAATTACCCTTCCATGCAGTAAATAATAATAATCACTACAACCACCTTTTATATTCTATATAAGGAAGGAGATTATACTGTATTACTTTATCCAGAATGTTTTTTTTAATGACAATGTGTTTCTTCAATACTTTGCCCTAATGATTCACACAAAGAAGTCTGATTCACTTTTTACTTCAATGTGGTAGAAAAATACATTGGGGTCTGTGTTAATAGTGTTACTATATATCAAATATGTTATACACATACTTCTCGTTGACTTAAAAATGTCTTTTTGATTTACAAAAAACAGTATCCCATCTGTCTAGGCTTCAGGTTTAGTAGAAAAGACTAGTTTTGCCCTGCTGTGAAATAATTTACCTCTGTTTTGTAAAAAAGTAATTAGAAGACAAAATTTGGATAATAACACACAGAATTTGCGAGAATTAACGAGAAATATATATTTTTTTTGCTTTTTGAGAAGTCAGAATTCATTATAAGACGACTATAAACTCAAATCTTATAGTTTAAGATAACAGCAATGTGTAGCTTTGAATCACACTAACCCACCAACTTAATTTTTTCTATGGTTGAAGGTGCTAGGGACCCTCATTTCTTGGGCATAAAATAGATAAAATTCAAGTACACTTAATTTCCAAATGAAGGACAAGGGCATGACAGGGGTATTGCAGGTCAATACAGAATGTATGTGGCCTGTAGTCATTTTATCATCAGAATAATTCCAGAGTTCTCGCTGCAAGAAATATACAATCATCCTTAGCACAGAGAAACATTTAAAAAACAAAGTCAAAATCTCATAACCCACATTGAAATCAATTGAATTTGTGTTGGACAGAATTGTGTGAATCATGTTGAGTAGGGCCCCATATGTTCTGTAACTTTAAATGAGCTACTTCAAGTAGCCTTGAACAGCTTCCACAACGTGAGTCATGTCTTTATTAGGAACGTCTTTCTCTCCAAGGGTTGACGGTTTGCAGTCATGGCTAGTAAAGGTAGACATAACTATTATTAGTCTATATATTGACCTGAACAGTAATTGAGAATGTCTTTGAATATTTCCAAAATGTTTTGAATCGGTTCAGATTATATTTTTTCTAAGCAGACACTTGACTAGATCACTTTACTGGAAGTAATATGGAATGTGTGGATAAAAAAATGTGTTTTATTTTTATTTCCATTTGTTTTTTATGTATTTTATATTCTTGATTCACCTTTGAATGATGAGAAAAATGATGATAAAACACTGCAAAAATAGGAGCGAAATGTTTTGTAAAAGTTGTGGCGCTCGCTAGTGTTAAATGTAGTCCCCCTGTGGAATTTTACCCTAACAGTTTCACATTTTTTTCACACTTTTATTTCTCT